CAGGAGATAGTTTCTGTCACGCAAATCTGCTACAGTTGTGCTTTTGTACGCTGCAAATCTCTACTTCTACAAATTATATGTTCTGTACTCCGTGGTTTCTGTTTGTTCTCAGAACGTGCGTTGTCTTTTTCTTATCATCTTATTGTCTTCTATAGAGCATGTAATATTACAGCTAAGATAAAGATTTTTGTTTTATGCTTATTCTCAAATAATCTTGTCTCTGAGTTTAATTTTTCTTCACACCTAGTACTTAACAGAGAAGTATTACATTCTGTTCCATAGTGATTACATAAATAAATCTTCTCTTCTTTCTTCAGGGTTTATCTTGGCACAAGAAAATTTTCATTTTTTATGTCTACGAGCTTGATATTTGAAACTCAAGTCTTTACCTACTTTTAATGTTCTTTAATCTCTGGAAAGAGTTGGAAGATCATCTTATTCCCTGTTGCTATAGAAGTTCTGGAAGTTGCCTTATGTCTTATTGGCAGATCAGATGATCTGATCTTTTGCAGTCATCTAGGTGCCTAGGAAATGAATTTGATTTTTTGCATTTTAATCGAGAAACATTCTCGTGCTCTTACCTATGCATTTGTGAAGTTCTGATAGTGATCTCTGTAGGAAATGTTGTACTTACTGATCAGATGTGTTTAAAATGGATACTAGACAAGTACAGAATGCTCTGTTCTTCTTTGAGCTGTTGCAAAGGAATGATTAAGAGATGATGGGATCTTTTAGGTGGCTGCAAGCTGTTGGTTAATTTATAGATCATAAACATTATTATGGATTTGGGAGGGGGAACTAGAACCAATCAAATAATATCTACTACATGAGGGGTATCCTGTGGACTTTTTGGAGCCTGAAATGCATTTTCATTAGTGGCTTGTAGTGCTGCCGTCAGCTTTCTGCATGGTTTGAGAAGTAAGGAGGTATTTTGCCTTGAAAATTATCGTGGATGAATTTGTTATTTAGAGCTTAAGCTGCAAGCTTTAGAGAGTAGGGGCAGGCTAGCCACCAACTGGTGAAGAGTTTTACCTTGACTATTAAACTAAGGTTTCTGGAATTTCTTTTGAACCGAGTATCAAGCAAAAATGACTTGCTTTGCTAACAGCAGCGCCTGCCATGGGCTTTACTGACTAATGAGTCCTTTGTCGCTATCCATATAGAAGATAGCTTAAACAGAGTATGACCTAAGACGATAGTTTTGAAGATTCCATTGCAAATTTCTTTAAGATTGTTTACGATGATATTGTTCAACAATAAAATGCTTACAAATCTTTTCTCTGTGATGACTAATGCCTTCTTATGCACTCATGATCATATTTGTTGAATGGAAAATTTGACTTTGGTGGCTTGAGTTTGCAGTCATTGAATAGGCTTTTAATGATTTGCATTTACCTGCTGACATTCTTTTTGCTTGCTCTTTCTCCTTTCTCTTTCACTTGCACAGAAGTTGGCCTAAGTACCCTTTTTCATGCAGTTTATCTGTCTGCTTGCTAGCAGGTCATTTTAATATTTATTAGTTTGTACACTAGCTATAGTTTCCGTGATGGTTGTCTGAGTTCTCTTAGTTTTAATCTTTGTTAGGAAGGTTCAATGTTCAACTTCTTTTGTGTGTGCATCAATAGCTAAGTTAGGCCGTGCCTATGTGTGCTACAAGATGTATAATTATAGAATACTTGAGCCTGATTATGTTTGCAAAGGAATTGGGAGACTATTCTATGCTAGACCTTTCTCTTATCTTTTCTTGTTTCCTGGTTTCCTATTTTATTCTTTTTGTACGAAGATGCCTTTTTTCTCAGTCTTCTTTGTAATTTCTTCTGTCTTCACTACTGTTTCTTTTTTAATCAAAATTCGGTAATGAACATTTATGATTTCTAGAGCTCTTAACTGCTTTCCACTATTTTTCTTAGTTTTGTTCATCTAACCCCCCCCCCCCCCGAGAAGAGAAAAGGAACTTAGTCTTTGAATCTGCTGTTTGAATTGTGTGAGACAAGAGTCACTAAATGTTTGAAACTCCCCCATTTTGCCTGTCACTATGAGCATGAGAGTTGTAACCAGAATGTCCATTTTTCTTTTTGAAATAAATAACCAGAATGTCCATTAACAGACAGCATGTGATGTCTGTTAATGAATGATTTTTGACTTCCTGGAGATGATTATAGTTTATTGTGGAATTTCCCTGAAATATTTAATGGAGTTGAGGCCATGTATGTTGGGAAGAATATTTGGGATAATAGTTTTCATTATTTCATTAATGTGAGTGTTTGTGACCCCATTGTCTAGTGGTATGGGGCAAGATGGCATGTTCGTCCTCTCATGCATTACCTTAAATTTACATTCTTCATCAATAATTTTCATCTTTTATTATTTAAAAAAAAATAATTTTCATCCTTTATTGATGAAGACAGTAATTGTTACGGGGATAAAATTTGAGGATGTAATTTAAATGAGCTTGTGTATCTAGTTACTTTCTATCCTCTGCTTAAGGAGGTGAATTTGCTATTACGGATTTCCTGCCCTAGGAGGTGCAGTGTGAAAATTTCTTCCAGAACTCTATGTTAGTTGACTGTTGAAGGATCCATGTCAATGATAAAATGTTTGGATTACAGGTTTACTGGCTAGATTAGATTTGTAAGCCTTTTGTTTCCCGAACTAATGTATACAAAGCTGATTGTCTGTAGGCTTATTAGCTGTTCCATGTCAAATGCGTAAGGTCTTATGCTGACTAAGCTCAAGCATTCTTTGCTGCTGACACCAAGATTGCTGATTTTCTTTATTACTTTTCTCTCACTTGTGAAGTTCTTATTGCTGCTAGTTGCTAGCTGCCACTATTTTGATTGGCTTTCATCATTCAATTTTATATGGGGCTTATTTTTTCCTTTCATTGTTCAGTACTAAAAATATGAATTATATGTTTTTGTACCTTTTTCAGTACTTATGGAAGTTCTGATGCGATCATTTGACTTCTTGTCTTTGGTTTTCCAGGTACATGCAGGGCATCTTTTCATCCTATATGTGCAAGGGAGGCAGGACACAGGTTGGAGGTTTGGGGAAAATATGGATGTGATAATGTATGACTTTCTCTATCTGCATGAAACTGTTTGGCACAACTTTGGGTGCTGTTATTGTATTTATGCAGTGATGGGTCTATTAGTAAAGGTTGCTTACTTCTTTCAATGGTTCTATAGATTGAATTGCGGGCGTTTTGTTCAAAGCACTCAGAGATCCGTGAGAGTAACAGGTCGCAACAATCAGGAGATCCTCGTGTTACTGTTGCAAGTAATATCTCTCTTACCAATCATCTTCCTTCATCTATGAACAAGTCAAACAAGTTAAAAGATGGATGCAACAATGGGGATAAGATGGCACTCCACGTAGAGACTCCTGACGCAAGCTCTGATATATCTGGCAATAGTGAATCACAAGAAAAAGCAATGTCTGACTCCAAATTAAATGCTAGAACTGTGTCAGACTGCAATGAAGCTCAGCAACATGTGAATGTGGGAATGCTAGAGAGGAAGAACAGGGAAGATATCAATCCATCTGAATCCCTGAATTTTGTATTGATTTTGAAGAAGGTATTTGGGGAAATATATATATCTGATCTCAACTAGTTGTTTTACTCCAGTTTATTCCATGCCTTACTGTCTGCACATCCTGCAGTTAATCAATCGGGGAAAAGTTGACGTGAAAGATGTAGCATCGGAGATTGGTGTCTCACCTGATTCACTAAGTGCCACACTTGCTGTAATGCATGAATCAATTTGTTTTCTACATTGCAATGAGATTCTTCTAAAGCAGTTACTAGTCATTGGTTGTTTCTCTTCTCTTTTTTGGGTTTTCTTTTGTTGTGACCTTTTGGATGTTTTAATGTAGGATGGTTACTTGCTGCCTGACTTGCAATTGAAGCTAGTTAAATGGCTCAAAAGTCATGCTTACATGAGTACTTTGCAAAAGGGTCTGAAAGTCAACACAAAATCTGGGATAACATCCATGTCTGAAATGGGCACAGTTGCCTGTTCCGATGGTGTAACAGTGTCAGACTCAGAAATATCAGATCCTGTTGCTGTTAAGTCAGTACCCCCACGGAGAAGAACCAAAAGTACGATTAGAATTTTGAGGGATAATGAAATAATGTGCTCTGATGGAATTTGTGGTTACAATGGGGTTGTTGTGGACAAGATTAAACCAGATCAGCTTATTAAGAAAGAAGAAGAGGATTTGAGTGGCGTATCTGTTCCTGACTCAACTGTAAAGGTAATCTTGTCATATGTAGACATTTGCTTCAAACCTTTATGTAGCAAATGCATATTGCCCATTTGCTCCCTAGATATCTAACTATCAATTGAAGTTATGTTTATGTTGTGAATTGGATGCAAAAGCGTCAAGTTCTAGTTGCTTT